CATCATAAAATGGCAAAAAGCTTCATATTGAGGATGGAGGGTGAGTCTTATTTTAAAAAATTGCAAGTGCTAATAACAAGTAAAATCGTCGTTAATTAAGTCCGACCTCGATACGACAGGTGACACCCTTCTATCTCACCAACCCCCGACCTTTAACCCCCAAATTTAATAGTAGCAACGTCTTTTATACACAAACTACAATGCCAAATTCCGTTTTATAATCTTTACCCCATTCTGAGATATTAAACGAAGTAGACGCCAACACACACACACACATCCACAAAATTTTATTTTATTTTATTTTTGTTCCCGTTTTTTTGGATTCGGGTGGTCTCAAAACGTGGAGATTTGCAAAAAAATTCGGTGTCAAATTTTGGCACGATTCCAATACTGCTAAATGGGCGTTCTTGGTATCGATGTTTACTTAAACGTCAATAAACACGATATAGCCACGAATAAAATTAAGTATTGAAAAACTAAGCTTATTTTATATCAGAAACACTTGCTGATGTGAGAATAGAGAATGAGGATTCCATAGCATGTATAATCCAAGCTCAGAATTTTTAGTACTATGATATATTGAGCTTTTTCTTTGCTTCCCGACAAGCGCAATATAACGAGGGGATACTATATTCTTAATGTAAAAATTTATTTAAAATGTCTATAAATCAGTGTCTGAGATATGTGTTACTTTGGGATTTCCGAATCTAAGTTGCAACATTTTATTTATCACGAAGCGTGACTATAATAAATTTCAGATAGCGAAACTATCATAAAGAAAACTCAGTAATTTATTTCTGTTCAGCGAGCGTATGAATTAGGCTATATTAACTGTGATCTTATTCTTCACTATAATGTTAAATAATAATGTTAAAATTACATATATAAGAACCTACGAAAACTGCTTAAAGTTCATTACTTTTTAATGAAAAGAATTAATGATAATTGGATTCGAAGGACTAGCAAGTTAGACATGAAAATCGAAATTCTAAGGAAATTATAAAATTAGGGAAGCCAAAGAGACGACTTTTTCAAAAAGTTGCCTTTAGGCATATCGAATACAATGTATTATAGATGGGGAACATGAGGCGGGCTGATAATATAAAATGTCACGAGTTTAATTTTGCTGTCGTGAATTATGAGTTTCCTGTTCTTTTCTCAATAAAGACATCTACTTTAAATGTAATTTATGTGTATAGGGCGGACAGAATTACCCGCACAATAAACCAACCGTGAGATCGCTCGTGGAAAAACCAAACCGGAAACGTATAGTCCGATTTTCCGATAGGGTGGCGCATTCCCGACCAGTTTCGTGACATCACGTCTGATAATGAGAATTCTTGTTGAAAAGCGACGTGGACAGCTGTACAGACATGCGTTGCACAAGTCATACGTCGTAGGACGGCCATCACAACTGTAACCTCTGATATGCTGCACGCCTGCAAATGCATATTTCGCGACGGATCGTCTGTGCTGCATTACACGATGTTGTATTGGTTTACTCAAACTTGTTATGACATTTCAGCTGTAGTGTACTGTACTGTACAGTACATGGATAAATAAATGACTCATTCATGTGAAAGTTACTGTAATGTCTATTCTTACCGGATGTGATGTCACAAACTGTTCGCCCAGTAACTCAGAAATGCGCAGTCCTCCGGTTTGGTTTTTACTAGCAATCGTCCGGTTGGTTTATTATGCGAGTGATTCTGGCCACCCTGTATATTTGATACCCGTATACTGAATGCATACGCTTATACAACCTGCTATATGACTTGTAGCCTTAGAGATTTTTCTGAAACGATTTGAGCGTTGTAATTACAGAAAGGTATAGAGCAGCGGTTCATCTCTGTACTATCTACTCAATTAGGCCTATTAGGCTTTTAAAAAAGGTAAAAATATTACAAGTTAAATTAATAAAACACTGAATTAATGTAACCAATTAATTAAATGTGTGAAATTTTTGTTGTTACAGTTTGGCAAGTAAAAATGTCCAAACTCAATACAGTCAAATTAATTCCTCTTTTAAGAATGCTTTAAAGTTTACTGTAAAACTTCTTCATACGGTTTACACGTGAATGAATAGTTCAAGTACTTAGACTGAGCAGAACACACATCGTGTGCTTCTAACAAGTAGATGGCAGAAAGTAAGCAAAACAATAGTGTAGTCTGTTTTATTTACTTAGCTACTCGCAGTATCGTCCTCAGACTATAGAAATGGAAACACAAGCTATAAAATAGGGCGTCATGCAAGAAGCTTCAAACTACGAATTAACGCGCCAATAGATGGCACTAGTTTCAATTAGGGCTAACTTGGCCTTAAAAACAAGTAATATTCCTTGTTTTCAGTTTTCAAGGCCAAATGTTGATCAGCATACGACAAAGTTGCACGAGACAATGGACAAATATCGTTCATTAATTTCTTTTATATTTGCAAAATAAGCTAGAAGTCATGAATTTTTCTGTTGTTTGTTAATATTGGAATTTGGGCCTTTTTGGTGATTAGGAAAAGGACAACCCAGACGGAAAGGAGGACCCCAATTGCCCCAATGTACTGGCTCCCCTGGCTGCTTGTCATTTACACTCATTGATGGAACAGCTTCTTAAACATATGATGTCACTAATTTTTGAATTTATGGCTTAACTGCCCAGAACTAAGCATTAAATCGCATAAAACAAAACACTATCTGATATCTCGAAAATGAAGGTAAAAAAGTCATACACAAACGGCAAACACACGAATCAATAATTTTTTTTTAATAATTATTATAAAATACTAACTTTTATCTTCTTATCACTTCTGAAACTTAAATACGTTTTAAATTAAATTTCAATTATATAAATTCGATTAAAAACGAATTTAACATATAAAGTTCGTTTGTATTGAATAATATTTTTCTAAAAACGTCATTTTTAAAAATTTTACTTTGCCAATCGACTGTGGAAATTGTAGACGAACACTCCATTGAAAGGGGAAAAGTTATTTATCAAATGTTAATAGTGAATTTACAAAACTTAATTTGCAATAGAGATCAACTAGATTACATATATATGATTAAAACGATCCTTTTAGAAGCTGAGAACTACCTCTTGAAAATATGATGTATTAGGTTTGTTCTTTAAGTATATATAATTATCTCACTTCTCTAAACATTTAATAAATTCAAAACATGTGGTCTACTACGTTTACATCTACATCAATTCTTATATATTCTTTTTACATCAATTTGCATAAAGACCTGGTTGAGAAATCGAATCTAACTTCACAATTTTGACAGTAATCTTCAGCAACCAAATTAAATTTTAAAGTAATTTCTAATAGTATAGAATTATCCGATAGCTTTAATTTTGTAAAATTACTTAAAATTTTTATGCAAATTAGCGCGAGTTCGGTGTCGTTCTTCGCTGGAATCTTTCCATTATCTAATCTACCAAATTACACCTTCGTACGTAAATATCAAACGTTCTTGGGATGGTGTCAGACATCCCGACGTAACTAAGTATTTAATTAATTAATAGAAATTACGTAAATATGCCGTAAGAAAATGCAAAGTGCATTAATACATGTAATTAAAAATTTCTATTATCCTGAGCCCGTATGAGTCCTACAATCAAAAGCCCGATGGATAAAATCGCTGAACACTGACCAATGGCGTATTCCAGGATTTTTCTCGTGTCTAACAATTCAATAGGGACCAGATTCCCAGAAGTCCTCCTGGGAGGCACTCCTCATCGGCAGATCGTCCATGTGTTTGCATCAATCCAATCTTTTAACTATATATACATAATATATTAATCTATAGAAATGAATAATTAGTTAATCACGTTTTTTGGTGGTTAAAGGTCGAGGGGATGGGGAGATGAAGGGTGTCGTGTCATATCTCCAGTAGGGTCTGACTTAATGACGATTCTACTCGTTAATAGCATTTACAATTTAATTTATAAAACCCATTCCTAGCCTCAAAATTAAGTGTTTTTTGCCATTTTATAATAATTAAAAATATAAAAAGTTCTTTTTAATAAGACATCGTAAAAAATGGCGCCACCAAATGTCGGAAAAGTTAAGTAACTCGTTGATGTATAATAGTTAATTAGATATAATAGAAGTAATGTGAATTCTCGAAACTCTACCTTGCTCACTAGCTCATACCTATAACACCTCATATCTATATAACTTATATATTGATAGAACATCTTATCCAACATACCTTATATTTGAAGGAGCTGGTACCTTCTCGGAACGGCCGGATTTGCACATAAGCTATAGAAAATGATGTAACTTAGGGCCTCTTTTATGAGTCTATATATTAGGGCCCGCAATTTTACATTATTTGGTGGTTAAGGTCTTGTTATATTTTATAGTTTAGGACCGCAACAGGTCTAAATCTATCCCTGCTACTTTGAACTTTATAAGAACACATGTAGACCCTCCTCCTCCCTATCCAGTAAGGAGGAGAGCCTACATGTAGTCGAATAAATAAGGTAAGTTCTAGCATACCTCAACCAATATAAGCAAACTGATCCTAGCGACAATAATTTACATATACAAATAATAAAATCTCTATCGATTAATTAACTCATTCTTTTTACATTTAAATAAACGTGAAATTAAAATATTGCTTTTTTTTTATTAAAAAAATCTTCATTTTCTGCCTCAGAAACACTTTTATCTGTATAAAATCTGATCGTGTACAATTAGATTTTTGATGTAAAGTAGTAGTTTCGGAATCTTTTGATTAAATCCGACTCCTTCCTACTACAATAAATTTAAGCCTGTTATTTTGTAATAAATACTTGTTACAGGCAACCACGCTGAAACTACTTAAGCTATTCTGCATTTATTAACGAACTCGATCCGTACTTGGCTACATACAATCTCTTAAATTATAAACAAAGCAATAAAGATCTCATTAACTTCCCATTCCAGAAAGATCTGATTGCCTAACGTTAAACAAAGAGGCGGGTTCTTATACCTAACCAAACTGTTGCCATCTATTTCATTCAAATCTCACCGATCAGACATGCAAACTAACATTTTGCTCTTTCTTGCTATTTTAATTATTAACTTTAATTCCAATCAAGGTAAGTTCTTTAATTCGTTTTCTCTTCAATTTAATATATGAACAATTTTTTAAGTTTAAAGTTTAAATAAATCAGTACTTAAATTAAATTTTCTATGGGCGCACAATTTTAAACGTTCAAATTGCTACTGTGAAAATTAGATCCGGATAAAAATTTTGTACATTGGTACGCGTTAGTATACAGAATTTTCCGTAAATTCTCGCAAGGTATATTTTCTAGGTCTGGAAAGCCTACAATGGAGGCATAAGTACCAACTTCAACTCTAAAGAATCAATAAAGTACAAATCCATCTATTAAGCCCATTATCTTTATTTCTAATTTCCTATTTAGCCTATTACTGTATTCCTAAATTGCTATTAAGCCCATTACTGTATTTCTATATTGCTGTTAAGCCCTCAATCAATTTCTAATACTTTATCAATTTTCGGAGAAGAGCTGACTCGGATATGTTGGGGCTTCATCTCTAACTTCCTCCAAGGTCCTTTTTTGGTTTATTATTATAAGTTTGGTAGGCCTACAATGGAGGCTAAGAGACCATGCAGATACAAAAGGGTCCTTTTGTTATGCTTATGACGGAAAACAATTAGTGCAGACTGAAAAGTTAATTTAAAAAAAAAAAATCTAAACTCAGGATATTCGTAAACAAGTGTTATATAATAGAACTTTATACACACGCCATTTTAAATTTCCTATTTGACTAGACATAATAAAAACTAAGGCAATAATAATTGAAGTCTACAATGCCAAGGTTAAGACTGTCTTTATTTTTTTTTTCTTTTTTTTAAAAATATAATTCGTGAAAGATTTATATTATTTTGTAGCAGTTAATTTCTCAGAAGAATAATAAAATAAATAAATAAAAAATTATTTTTGTATGTACTGTATTAACATTTTGACATGTTTATGAACTTGGTTTAATTTGTTTCTACATTATATTATTGTTAGCGATGTGAAAAATTAATTTATTTTTTTAATTTTCTTCTTAATTATCTGTCAGTTGATAATGAAACAATTCCGGTAATACTTTTTTTTTATTCTGCAAGACGTAATTAACTTCATAATTAATAATTCTTGCATTAGTAGATGGGTATTTTGTAATTACCTCCAGCTTACTTAACGTGAAACAAAGTAAATTTCCTAATTATAATTTTAAAATATTGATGTAATAAAATTATCAAATTTGGTACCTTTCTAGCTGGCTACTGCTGGGCAAAAATCGGAAAAAATGGAGGGTGTTCACAGTTGCTGATGAATAATGTTACCAGGAAGGAATGTTGCTTAGGGTCGAATTCTTACGGTTGGAGCAACGAGAAACATCGATCGGGATCTTTGTTTTATTGGAAAATTGTGGGAAATCTTTATCCCTGTAGACCCTGTAAAGGTCAATACATTATGTGCTTAAATTGCAACAATAAATAATAATATTTATAGAGATAAGTATGTTCATATAATTTCTTAGTATATAAGATTTCTTTGGAATAGTATTTATAAAGTAATTAATTTGTTTCTAGATTTAAATGAAGTAAAGTAGGGATATTTAATTAAATTAAGATGGCGAAATGTAAATTTCTGTTTAAATAAACTGTAAAGTATTAATAATTAGTTTCCTCGCTAAATAAATGAAGAAAATAATTAAAAATTTGCTATTTATAAGTTTTTCGTCCCGTATTTCCATAATAACTTCGAATACAAATCGAAAATTGCTTAAATACTAAAAAGTACGAAGAGTATTTCTAGTTTTGAATTATTTTCCCCTATTAATTATGCATATTATTGACTATTTTTCTATATTAAACCGTGTTCCGTTTATGAGAGATACATTATGTTTACATATAAACGCACAGATATACATACAGACTCAATAACGTTCCCTGAAAATGGTTAAGCTGAAATTTCTGAATTAATTTCGCTTGAAAGTTAAAAAATTTACGTATTAAATTGTAATTATCGAGTTAAAAATGCTTCTTTCTTTTCAAAGAAATTACCTAAAATGTGTAATTATTAACAATTATAAAATTCATTTGAAATGAAATATAAGCTACGATATTTAATTTATGCAATTTTTCCATATTATTGCAGTTAATTGCTTCAGAAACGATTGCAATTCGAATTGCACGAGGAAAAATTTATGCACTTTCAAGAAACAACAATCTGGACCCGTGTGTGGAACAGACGGACAAACGTACGCTAATCAGTGCAAACTGCTGAAACAGCAATGCCGACGAGGAAATAAATTAAAAATTGCATATTTTGGTCCATGCCAAAGTATTTCATTTTATATTATATTTTTATATATATTTATAAAACGGCTATTTCTTAATCTTCGTTTTCTTCGAATAGATTCTTGTGAGAAAGTAAAGTGTTTAAGAGGGAAGTCTTGCTTCCTTGATCATTATCATCGTCCTCATTGCGTTCGGTGTCACCAAGATTGTCCTGCTAGCGTCAAAAATCACGTGATTTGTACCGTTAACAATATCACTCATTACAATTATTGTACTCTTAGACAAGAAGCCTGTAAACTCGGATATATGGTCTCTGTCGCTTATAAGGGCCAATGCAGAGGTACAGTACGTGTTTTAATTTAGTTTGTAAAATATTTAATTACATTATTTATAACATTTTATAGAATTTGAAAACTGCGATATGGTTAATTGCCCGAAACAAAGTAGATGCATATTTGATCACGTTGAAAATATTCCATTTTGTGTGAATTGCCCAATGTCCTGTTCTTCTTGGTCTCCCTTCTGTGCATCCGATGGAAACACATACAACAGTCTGTGCCATTTAGAAAGAGAAATATGCAGGAAAGGAGTTAAGATTTCGGTAGTAAAAGATGGACCGTGTAATAGTCCAGGTAAATTTCAATTAAGTTATTTAATTATGATAAATTTTAATATCGAAATTTAAAGGTAGTTTTTTATTCTCCAGTACCTAGTTTAAGTCATAGAAATTGTTTAACCTGAGATATAATTATGTATTTTTTTCTGTTGTAAAGCTGTAGTCTAGACTTAAATATTTTCATATTAATGAATGGCACTGATGAATTCTCTTTCTTAATCACTTAAGCTGTGTCTAAAATTTGATTAAGTGAGAACATAAATGACTTTATCCTCTTAAGGGAAATTTTATTTAAAGAGAAGGCGAAGATGCAAGAATGCATTTCAAAAATTCAAAGGGTAAATTCACTTCCCTACAGTGAAAAGGTTAAGAACCTTTGCTTTTAGTCAAATACTGTATACAGGGCGTATTTTGTGTGTATGTTAACCTCGTTAATGAAGAGAATAACTTAAAAAGGAAATTAAAGTAAAATTTGAGAAATATCCCGTGACTATGCAAATAAAATTCCAGATTTAACTAGAATAATTTTTTAAAGAACTTTAAACATTTTAAAATAATGGAAACAATTTCATTTTAGGAATTTTTCCTTTATAAATAAATAAATAACTTAAATTTGACTTCTGTCCTAGAAATTTTTAATCAATTTTTTAAGATTTAGATGTGCTGTACAGTACAATTGGTAAAAGTTCTTAAAATAACTGACTTATTTATAATAAATGTAGTCGAATATTTATTAACTCGAACTTATGTGAGAAAAGTAGAAACTGGTTTCCTGCCTGGGCAGGATATATAAGTTAACTTATATACTATTAACACAACTGATTAATTCATCTGGCATAAATCCAGCAGACTACAATTAACTAAATTGTCATTTTCCTTACATTATTTAACATAAAAATACTGTAGAATATAATTTCGGTGTATATTTATTACATTAGTCCCAAATTCTAGTGTTTCAATTGCATGCCTAGCCAAATAAAACACCGATTCAGTACACCAGTAATTACTCTCTTCAATTACACTGTACAGAGAAAGATTGCTGTATAACAAATTCATAATTTGAATTACATGTGGCAATAAATTAGGAATTTTTCGACTTACATTTTCTAATGGCATATATCATCAATTTACAATGAACATTAAAAAAGTCACCGACCAAAGTGGTGACTCCTCAAAAATAATTATTTCAATTTAAACACAATTAAAATTTAATTTTCTTTTTCTGGTTTTTAATTTAAATATAATTCTGATATAATTAGTTTTTGTTATTTTCACGCCTGTCTTAATAAATTACAATAGCCACGTGGATTAGATTGATTAAAACAACGCAATATATGGACGATCTGCTATAAGGTGGGACATACGAAGAAAATCCGGAAGACTCGGGGGCCTCACCAACGAGGTAGCCACGTGAAACTTTAACGTGCCAACTCGTTGGTGAGGTCCCACGACCAACTACCAGTGCTCAGTGCTATTATTCACTCGGCTATTGGTAGTCTCAGTAGTCATGTTCTTATATCTTCTTATCTCTATAAAACTTAATTACCATCTAAGTCACTAAAAATATTTCTTTTTCAATCTAAAGATAAGATCTTAAATATATGAATTTAAAATTTTAATTAGTCTAATACTCTTGGGGCCCTATTGCATAAAAATTACAAGTTACAAATCTTACAAGAAGTCACACGTTTGGTATAAGCTACAGTGAGAAACTTTCCAGATTTGTTGTCACAATAAATAATTGCTCGTTTGTGACTTGTAAAGCTTTTAACAACTGTAAGAGTTTCGCGCAATAGGTATCTGATAGGTTCGTTCAAGAGTTTATTTTAATCTGTTATTTGCTAATTAATTATTTTCGTAATTAAACCAATTGGAAAAATAATCGTATATATAATAAACTTGCGATAATTAATATAGTGGAGAAAACCCGGAAAACTCCTCATGGCTATCCCATCTTGGCGAGGTGCGACCCACGACCGAACTCCTAGTGTCAGGAAACGGAACCGCTTGGCTACTGGTGGACTTGCATAAAGCTATATGTATGTAGTAAAACCTGTCCAAAACGGAAATGAAATAAGTCGAAAAGCATTCTTCGGAACGGAGCGATTTTCTATGTCACAAAAAAACCTGTTAAAAACGGAAACCTGCCAAACCGAAAAAAATATTGGGTTCGTACGGCTTCGGTTTACACCGGTTTTTATTGTATTCTATTATAAAATTTTATTAAAATAAAGCTCTATTTAATCGTTATCAATATTCAGAGCAAATAGATTTTACACTTTGTACAGTAAAACCTGTGTAAACCGGACTATCACAGTACCGAATATTTTTTTCGGTTTGGTAGGTTTCCATTTTGAACATTTTTTTAAACACAAAAAATCGCTGCGTTTCGAAGAATTCTTCCCGCTTAAACAGGTTTCCGTATTATGAAGGTTCCGCTTTGGACAGGTTTATACTGTACATTTTAAATGTTTACAAATTTATTTTGTTTATGGATTTATAATTTAGATTCTTAATAAAATGAGTGAATATTTTAAAAAAAGAAAAAATTATTAGAAGAATAAAATATCCTTATTTACTTTGGAATTTCTATATTTAGCACAGATGGATTGTAATCCATCTGTACTAAATAAAACATCATCATAAAATATTAGAACTTTTACAAGGAGAAAGTTAAAATTAATTCAAGATGAGCAATACTCGTATTATAAAAACTTTCATTTAAAATGTAATGCAAAGACAATTTATTTATTATGACACGTTCACAATGGCGGGCTGCAATTTTTAGTCGTGTTTTTAATTTATTTAATTTAAAATATATGCTCTCCACTTCAAATTAGTAGTGTTTTGCTCCTGTAGAGTCGTGCCGTTAGGTAACTCCTCTCAGGGAAAATTTTTGAATTGAAATAACGTGACTTTCAGTGCAAACCAGAAGTTCATACACAGTTAATCGGGGCCTTCTATCTCTAAACTTACCATACTTAAGTCGATTTTCATTTATCTAACTCCATTCTCGAGATTAAGGAAGGACGGAATGACAGACAGTGGGAATTGTCTACAATTTTTTTCAAATTGCAACCCAAATATTCCTAATTTATAATCGGTATATTATACTTATAAACTAGACATTATATATACACATTATAACATTAAAATAATATACAATACTGTACAGTACATCTATTATTTTATATTCTTTCAATATATAATTTTAAATGTTCGTGTAATACATAGACGTATATATGACTACATTACTGTATATACTTATATATAAGCATATTTAATGTTATTATTAGTATATTTTATATTAATTTCTTAAATATCCTATATATTAAAATCTGTACAAAACGAACCTGCCAAACCCGAAAAATATTTGATACAGTGCGATTCGGTTTAAACAGGTTATACTGTATATGTATATATAATGTTTAATATATACATATATGTATATATAATCACACACAATTACATTTTGATTTTATAATATTGTAATATGACGTAGAGATGATAAAGCTATTGTTTCTAATACTCATGATGATGTAATAAAAAATATTTAAATTATAAAATATAATTTTAATTATTTTGTCTCTATTTTTAGATGAAATGCCAGAAAATTCGAATGAAGATGACTAATATTCATTCTTAAAACCATTATATTATGCTTATTGTATTTAAAATGTTATAGGAAATTAAATATATTATGTTTTAAAGGTTTCTCTCTTACAAACCACAAAAGTTAATAATTTAAATTAATTTGCAAATTCAGTTTTTACTGCTTAATATAATAATTTATTGCACGTTATGTTATGTAACAAGTCATTTTAAAAAACAAAGGGGGGGAGTTCTATATTTCATGATAAACTGCAGACATTTTGGATATATGGAAATCAGCCTATCATTTTCTAAGATTCATGCAATAAATTAATGATTAAAGAGCAATTATTTATTGTGACGTCATCACAATACCGAGCTGCAATTTTTAATTATATTCTTAATTTATTTAATCTAAAATATATGTTTTCCAACTCATATTAGTAGTGTTTTCCCCTGTACTGTACATCATACTTTTCTTGATCAATTGAATGTTACCAGTCATCTAACTAATCCTTTCAGGGGAAAATTTTTTAATTGAATTCACGTGATTTCGGTTTTTATCGGACGTTCGTATACAGTCCTCCTGCCCTAAAGTTTCCATGCCCGATCTCGGTTTTCATGTTACTCCGTTCTCGAGATTAAGGAAAGACGGACGGACAGACGGACGACAGTGGAAATTTACAGCTCTGCACTTTCGAAATTGCAGCCCAATGATTAAACAGTAAATAAAAATGTCTAAATATCTTTATTACTATCTAAAACTCAGAACGAATTACATTCCTAAGTCTATTTTTATGTTGAAATTGCAGGTAAGTCGGAACCATGGGGTTGAGAGAGGGATGATTGTCTCCTAGACGTTTTACATAATGCAAATTACAGCGGGCATCAACTGCTAATTGATTATAATTCCACATAATTATACAATTAATTTATTGAAAATTTTGGCGCTTGTTTACTTCGCTATCCCTTATCAATGCGTGCACGACCGTCGCATGCCTCACGCTATGTGATGGAAAATGTCGCGCGCGTAAAGCAGTAGACGTTAGAGAGGTTGCGACCGACGTTTTCATCGCAAAAACGTGAACGTCGGACATCGAGCGCCGCCATCTGGCAAATCTAGAAGGTTAACAATGGCGTTTGGTACTTCGAGCATGGCGAGTAGAAGGTCGGCTTAAACTTCTTTTTTTGTGTGTTTGGGGTTTAAATTATGACGTATTTTATTAAAATAATGAGTATTTAAGCATTTATAAATAATATTGTAAAAAATAGATTATTTTAATTCTGAAATTATTTAATTATTCAATATTTTTTAAAGTAATATGAAGTGACCACAAATTCTAAGGCTGTGTTCACTATTTTTATTTTTTCACAGTAAGAGTTTAATTAAAATTTTACTTGTGAGGTATTAGTCTTGTTGTATGAGTATGAAAGTGATGAAGAAGCCATTTTATTATATCATATATCACTAAAGCTATACCTGTGACAAAAGTAAGAATGAATTTATATGAAATGACAGATTCTGATTGCTTGTTTTATTTTCGGTAAGTAATTATAAATTAAAGTAAAAATGAAAAAAAGGAATAATACAGTATTTATAAAATTTTATAATTTTAACAATTTTCAAGAGATGATTTGTTTCACCTCCATTCTGCTTTACACCTTCCATCTGTAATAATTTGTGAAAATGGATCATGCTCACTTGGAATTGATGTATTTTGTATTTTTTTTACGAAGATTAGTTTATCCTAATAGTCTTGATGATATTTCTGTTTTGTTGGGGAGAACAAAAAGTAAACTTTCAAGATTTGTACATGAAATACTAAATATCATTTACAATAACCGTTTCAAATTGCTATTGAATATCGACAAATAAAACTAACAGGAGAAAAATTTTAAATTATTTAGTCAAGTACAGTAATAACAGCAAAAGGTGCTCCTTTGACAAATTGTTGGAGGTTCATAGATGGAATGGCACGCCCTATTTGTCTTTCAAAAACACATTAGAGGGTGGTATTTAGTGGCAATAAACGTACACATTGTTTGAAATTTCAATCAGTGGTTACACCTGATTGTATAATTGCAAATTTATTTGAACCATTAGAAGGAAGACGTCATGACAGAAATGTTAAGAAAATCTAATTTGTTAGAGCATTTTGCTGCGATTTCTTGTTCTGAGAACGGGCCAATTTGTTTTATATGGAAATTCTGGTTATCTTTTGCGTCAACACCTTATTACACCATTCCGAGGTACTAGTTTAACACCCGAGCAAGAGGTATTTAATTCAAGGATGAGTTCAGTAAGAGAGTACGCTATGTTGAATGGGTATTTGGGAAAATAATTCAAATATTTGCTTTTCTAGATTTAAAAAAAAATTGAAATTGTTTATCTTCAGCCGTTCGTAAACTTTATATTGTTGATGTATTACTTACAAACTGTCACACTTGCTTATATGGTAATGCAACATCAGATTATTTTAATTGTTTACCCGCAAATTGGACAAATACTTAGAATGTAATCAATAAATAAAGAATTTTTTATATTTTATAAAAACTTTGAATAAAAACTAAGTTTTCATAAATAATTCTAATAACAATCTTTCCTCTCCATCCTCCATCAGTCTTGCTTCTCTCTTTTCTCTCTAAATCAATTTTTTTTTTCCAAATCTAATTTTTCTTGTTCTAGTTTCAGTCTTTTCAACTCTACCTGCAGTTGTTCTTTATTTAAATTTAATTCTTGTTTTAACTGAAGCTGTTGGTCTTGCTTGCTTTGTATGAGATAAGAAAGTTTTCTTTTTTTTTTTTTGAGAAATTGGTATCATTATCTAAAAATAATATATTTTTAAAAAATGTATAATTATTATGCAATTTTTGTAGTAATNTTTCTCAGAAGAATAATAAAATAAATAAATAAAAAATTATTTTTGTATGTACTGTATTAACATTTTGACATGTTTATGAACTTGGTTTAATTTGTTTCTACATTATATTATTGTTAGCGATGTGAAAAATTAATTTATTTTTTTAATTTTCTTCTTAATTATCTGTCAGTTGATAATGAAACAATTCCGGTAATACTTTTTTTTTATTCTGCAAGACGTAATTAACTTCATAATTAATAATTCTTGCATTAGTAGATGGGTATTTTGTAATTACCTCCAGCTTACTTAACGTGAAACAAAGTAAATTTCCTAATTATAATTTTAAAATATTGATGTAATAAAATTATCAAATTTGGTACCTTTCTAGCTGGCTACTGCTGGGCAAAAATCGGAAAAAATGGAGGGTGTTCACAGTTGCTGATGAATAATGTTACCAGGAAGGAATGTTGCTTAGGGTCGAATTCTTACGGTTGGAGCAACGAGAAACATCGATCGGGATCTTTGTTTTATTGGAAAATTGTGGGAAATCTTTATCCCTGTAGACCCTGTAAAGGTCAATACATTATGTGCTTAAATTGCAACAATAAATAATAATATTTATAGAGATAAGTATGTTCATATAATTTCTTAGTATATAAGATTTCTTTGGAATAGTATTTATAAAGTAATTAATTTGTTTCTAGATTTAAATGAAGTAAAGTAGGGATATTTAATTAAATTAAGATGGCGAAATGTAAATTTCTGTTTAAATAAACTGTAAAGTATTAATAATTAGTTTCCTCGCTAAATAAATGAAGAAAATAATTAAAAATTTGCTATTTATAAGTTTTTCGTCCCGTATTTCCATAATAACTTCGAATACAAATCGAAAATTGCTTAAATACTAAAAAGTACGAAGAGTATTTCTAGTTTTGAATTATTTTCCCCTATTAATTATGCATATTATTGACTATTTTTCTATATTAAACCGTGTTCCGTTTATGAGAGATACATTATGTTTACATATAAACGCACAGATATACATACAGACTCAATAACGTTCCCTGAAAATGGTTAAGCTGAAATTTCTGAATTAATTTCGCTTGAAAGTTAAAAAATTTACGTATTAAATTGTAATTATCGAGTTAAAAATGCTTCTTTCTTTTCAAAGAAATTACCTAAAATGTGTAATTATTAACAATTATAAAATTCATTTGAAATGAAATATAAGCTACGATATTTAATTTATGCAATTTTTCCATATTATTGCAGTTAATTGCTTCAGAAACGATTGCAATTCGAATTGCACGAGGAAAAATTTATGCACTTTCAAGAAACAACAATCTGGACCCGTGTGTGGAACAGACGGACAAACGTACGCTAATCAGTGCAAACTGCTGAAACAGCAATGCCGACGAGGAAATAAATTAAAAATTGCATATTTTGGTCCATGCCAAAGTATTTCATTTTATATTATATTTTTATATATATTTATAAAACGGCTATTTCTTAATCTTCGTTTTCTTCGAATAGATTCTTGTGAGAAAGTAAAGTGTTTAAGAGGGAAGTCTTGCTTCCTTGATCATTATCATCGTCCTCATTGCGTTCGGTGTCACCAAGATTGTCCTGCTAGCGTCAAAAATCACGTGATTTGTACCGTTAACAATATCACTCATTACAATTATTGTACTCTTAGACAAGAAGCCTGTAAACTCGGATATATGGTCTCTGTCGCTTATAAGGGCCAATGCAGAGGTACAGTACGTGTTTTAATTTAGTTTGTAAAATATTTAATTACATTATTTATAACATTTTATAGAATTTGAAAACTGCGATATGGTTAATTGCCCGAAACAAAGTAGATGCATATTTGATCACGTTGAAAATATTCCATTTTGTGTGAATTGCCCAATGTCCTGTTCTTCTTGGTCTCCCTTCTGTGCATCCGATGGAAACACATACAACAGTCTGTGCCATTTAGAAAGAGAAATATGCAGGAAAGGAGTTAAGATTTCGGTAGTAAAAGATGGACCGTGTAATAGTCCAGGTAAATTTCAATTAAGTTATTTAATTATGATAAATTTTAATATCGAAATTTAAAGGTAGTTTTTTATTCTCCAGTACCTAGTTTAAGTCATAGAAATTGTTTAACCTGAGATATAATTATGTATTTTTTTCTGTTGTAAAGCTGTAGTCTAGACTTAAATATTTTCATATTAATGAATGGCACTGATGAATTCTCTTTCTTAATCACTTAAGCTGTGTCTAAAATTTGATTAAGTGAGAACATAAATGACTTTATCCTCTTAAGGGAAATTTTATTTAAAGAGAAGGCGAAGATGCAAGAATGCATTTCAAAAATTCAAAGGGTAAATTCACTTCCCTACAGTGAAAAGGTTAAGAACCTTTGCTTTTAGTCAAATACTGTATACAGGGCGTATTTTGTGTGTATGTTAACCTCGTTAATGAAGAGAATAACTTAAAAAGGAAATTAAAGTAAAATTTGAGAAATATCCCGTGACTATGCAAATAAAATTCCAGATTTAACTAGAATAATTTTTTAAAGAACTTTAAACATTTTAAAATAATGGAAACAATTTCATTTTAGGAATTTTTCCTTTATAAATAAATAAATAACTTAAATTTGACTTCTGTCCTAGAAATTTTTAATCAATTTTTTAAGATTTAGATGTGCTGTACAGTACAATTGGTAAAAGTTCTTAAAATAACTGACTTATTTATAATAAATGTAGTCGAATATTTATTAACTCGAACTTATGTGAGAAAAGTAGAAACTGGTTTCCTGCCTGGGCAGGATATATAAGTTAACTTATATACTATTAACACAACTGATTAATTCATCTGGCATAAATCCAGCAGACTACAATTAACTAAATTGTCATTTTCCTTACATTATTTAACATAAAAATACTGTAGAATATAATTTCGGTGTATATTTATTACATTAGTCCCAAATTCTAGTGTTTCAATTGCATGCCTAGCCAAATAAAACACCGATTCAGTACACCAGTAATTACTCTCTTCAATTACACTGTACAGAGAAAGATTGCTGTATAACAAATTCATAATTTGAATTACATGTGGCAATAAATTAGGAATTTTTCGACTTACATTTTCTAATGGCATATATCATCAATTTACAATGAACATTAAAAAAGTCACCGACCAAAGTGGTGACTCCTCAAAAATAATTATTTCAATTTAAACACAATTAAAATTTAATTTTCTTTTTCTGGTTTTTAATTTAAATATAATTCTGATATAATTAGTTTTTGTTATTTTCACGCCTGTCTTAATAAATTACAATAGCCACGTGGATTAGATTGATTAAAACAACGCAATATATGGACGATCTGCTATAAGGTGGGACATACGAAGAAAATCCGGAAGACTCGGGGGCCTCACCAACGAGGTAGCCACGTGAAACTTTAACGTGCCAACTCGTTGGTGAGGTCCCACGACCAACTACCAGTGCTCAGTGCTATTATTCACTCGGCTATTGGTAGTCTCAGTAGTCATGTTCTTATATCTTCTTATCTCTATAAAACTTAATTACCATCTAAGTCACTAAAAATATTTCTTTTTCAATCTAAAGATAAGATCTTAAATATATGAATTTAAAATTTTAATTAGTCTAATACTCTTGGGGCCCTATTGCATAAAAATTACAAGTTACAAATCTTACAAGAAGTCACACGTTTGGTATAAGCTACAGTGAGAAACTTTCCAGATTTGTTGTCACAATAAATAATTGCTCGTTTGTGACTTGTAAAGCTTTTAACAACTGTAAGAGTTTCGCGCAATAGGTATCTGATAGGTTCGTTCAAGAGTTTATTTTAATCTGTTATTTGCTAATTAATTATTTTCGTAATTAAACCAATTGGAAAAATAATCGTATATATAATAAACTTGCGATAATTAATATAGTGGAGAAAACCCGGAAAACTCCACATGGCTATCCCATCTTGGCGAGGTGCGACCCACGACCGAACTCCTAGTGTCAGGAAACGGAACCGCTTGGCCACTGGTGGACTTGCATAAAGCTATATGTATGTAGTAAAACCTGTCCAAAACGGAAATGAAATAAGTCGAAAAGCATTCTTCGGAACGGAGCGATTTTCTATGTCACAAAAAAACCTGTTAAAAACGGAAACCTGCCAAACCGAAAAAAATATTGGGTTCGTACGGCTTCGGTTTACACCGGTTTTTATTGTATTCTATTATAAAATTTTATTAAAATAAAGCTCTATTTAATCGTTATCAATATTCAGAGCAAATAGATTTTACACTTTGTACAGTAAAACCTGTGTAAACCGGACTATCACAGTACCGAATATTTTTTTCGGTTTGGTAGGTTTCCATTTTGAACATTTTTTTAAACACAAAAAATCGCTGCGTTTCGAAGAATTCTTCCCGCTTAAACAGGTTTCCGTATTATGAAGGTTCCGCTTTGGACAGGTTTATACTGTACATTTTAAATGTTTACAAATTTATTTTGTTTATGGATTTATAATTTAGATTCTTAATAAAATGAGTGAATATTTTAAAAAAAGAAAAAATTATTAGAAGAATAAAATATCCTTATTTACTTTGGAATTTCTATATTTAGCACAGATGGATTGTAATCCATCTGTACTAAATAAAACATCATCATAAAATATTAGAACTTTTACAAGGAGAAAGTTAAAATTAATTCAAGATGAGCAATACTCGTATTATAAAAACTTTCATTTAAAATGTAATGCAAAGACAATTTATTTATTATGACACGTTCACAATGGCGGGCTGCAATTTTTAGTCGTGTTTTTAATTTATTTAATTTAAAATATATGCTCTCCACTTCAAATTAGTAGTGTTTTGCTCCTGTAGAGTCGTGCCGTTAGGTAACTCCTCTCAGGGAAAATTTTTGAATTGAAATAACGTGACTTTCAGTGCAAACCAGAAGTTCATACACAGTTAATCGGGGCCTTCTATCTCTAAACTTACCATACTTAAGTCGATTTTCATTTATCTAACTCCATTCTCGAGATTAAGGAAGGACGGAATGACAGACAGTGGGAATTGTCTACAATTTTTTTCAAATTGCAACCCAAATATTCCTAATTTATAATCGGTATATTATACTTATAAACTAGACATTATATATACACATTATAACATTAAAATAATATACAATACTGTACAGTACATCTATTATTTTATATTCTTTCAATATATAATTTTAAATGTTCGTGTAATACATAGACGTATATATGACTACATTACTGTATATACTTATATATAAGCATATTTAATGTTATTATTAGTATATTTTATATTAATTTCTTAAATATCCTATATATTAAAATCTGTACAAAACGAACCTGCCAAACCCGAAAAATATTTGATACAGTGCGATTCGGTTTAAACAGGTTATACTGTATATGTATATATAATGTTTAATATATACATATATGTATATATAATCACACACAATTACATTTTGATTTTATAATATTGTAATATGACGTAGAGATGATAAAGCTATTGTTTCTAATACTCATGATGATGTAATAAAAAATATTTAAATTATAAAATATAATTTTAATTATTTTGTCTCTATTTTTAGATGAAATGCCAGAAAATTCGAATGAAGATGACTAATATTCATTCTTAAAACCATTATATTATGCTTATTGTATTTAAAATGTTATAGGAAATTAAATATATTATGTTTTAAAGGTTTCTCTCTTACAAACCACAAAAGTTAATAATTTAAATTAATTTGCAAATTCAGTTTTTACTGCTTAATATAATAATTTATTGCACGTTATGTTATGTAACAAGTCATTTTAAAAAACAAAGGGGGGGAGTTCTATATTTCATGATAAACTGCAGACATTTTGGATATATGGAAATCAGCCTATCATTTTCTAAGATTCATGCAATAAATTAATGATTAAAGAGCAATTATTTATTGTGACGTCATCACAATACCGAGCTGCAATTTTTAATTATATTCTTAATTTATTTAATCTAAAATATATGTTTTCCAACTCATATTAGTAGTGTTTTCCCCTGTACTGTACATCATACTTTTCTTGATCAATTGAATGTTACCAGTCATCTAACTAATCCTTTCAGGGGAAAATTTTTTAATTGAATTCACGTGATTTCGGTTTTTATCGGACGTTCGTATACAGTCCTCCTGCCCTAAAGTTTCCATGCCCGATCTCGGTTTTCATGTTACTCCGTTCTCGAGATTAAGGAAAGACGGACGGACAGACGGACGACAGTGGAAATTTACAGCTCTGCACTTTCGAAATTGCAGCCCAATGATTAAACAGTAAATAAAAATGTCTAAATATCTTTATTACTATCTAAAACTCAGAACGAATTACATTCCTAAGTCTATTTTTATGTTGAAATTGCAGGTAAGTCGGAACCATGGGGTTGAGAGAGGGATGATTGTCTCCTAGACGTTTTACATAATGCAAATTACAGCGGGCATCAACTGCTAATTGATTATAATTCCACATAATTATACAATTAATTTATTGAAAATTTTGGCGCTTGTTTACTTCGCTATCCCTTATCAATGCGTGCACGACCGTCGCATGCCTCACGCTATGTGATGGAAAATGTCGCGCGCGTAAAGCAGTAGACGTTAGAGAGGTTGCGACCGACGTTTTCATCGCAAAAACGTGAACGTCGGACATCGAGCGCCGCCATCTGGCAAATCTAGAAGGTTAACAATGGCGTTTGGTACTTCGAGCATGGCGAGTAGAAGGTCGGCTTAAACTTCTTTTTTTGTGTGTTTGGGGTTTAAATTATGACGTATTTTATTAAAATAATGAGTATTTAAGCATTTATAAATAATATTGTAAAAAATAGATTATTTTAATTCTGAAATTATTTAATTATTCAATATTTTTTAAAGTAATATGAAGTGACCACAAATTCTAAGGCTGTGTTCACTATTTTTATTTTTTCACAGTAAGAGTTTAATTAAAATTTTACTTGTGAGGTATTAGTCTTGTTGTATGAGTATGAAAGTGATGAAGAAGCCATTTTATTATATCATATATCACTAAAGCTATACCTGTGACAAAAGTAAGAATGAATTTATATGAAATGACAGATTCTGATTGCTTGTTTTATTTTCGGTAAGTAATTATAAATTAAAGTAAAAATGAAAAAAAGGAATAATACAGTATTTATAAAATTTTATAATTTTAACAATTTTCAAGAGATGATTTGTTTCACCTCCATTCTGCTTTACACCTTCCATCTGTAATAATTTGTGAAAATGGATCATGCTCACTTGGAATTGATGTATTTTGTATTTTTTTTACGAAGATTAGTTTATCCTAATAGTCTTGATGATATTTCTGTTTTGTTGGGGAGAACAAAAAGTAAACTTTCAAGATTTGTACATGAAATACTAAATATCATTTACAATAACCGTTTCAAATTGCTATTGAATATCGACAAATAAAACTAACAGGAGAAAAATTTTAAATTATTTAGTCAAGTACAGTAATAACAGCAAAAGGTGCTCCTTTGACAAATTGTTGGAGGTTCATAGATGGAATGGCACGCCCTATTTGTCTTTCAAAAACACATTAGAGGGTGGTATTTAGTGGCAATAAACGTACACATTGTTTGAAATTTCAATCAGTGGTTACACCTGATTGTATAATTGCAAATTTATTTGAACCATTAGAAGGAAGACGTCATGACAGAAATGTTAAGAAAATCTAATTTGTTAGAGCATTTTGCTGCGATTTCTTGTTCTGAGAACGGGCCAATTTGTTTTATATGGAAATTCTGGTTATCTTTTGCGTCAACACCTTATTACACCATTCCGAGGTACTAGTTTAACACCCGAGCAAGAGGTATTTAATTCAAGGATGAGTTCAGTAAGAGAGTACGCTATGTTGAATGGGTATTTGGGAAAATAATTCAAATATTTGCTTTTCTAGATTTAAAAAAAAATTGAAATTGTTTATCTTCAGCCGTTCGTAAACTTTATATTGTTGATGTATTACTTACAAACTGTCACACTTGCTTATATGGTAATGCAACATCAGATTATTTTAATTGTTTACCCGCAAATTGGACAAATACTTAGAATGTAATCAATAAATAAAGAATTTTTTATATTTTATAAAAACTTTGAATAAAAACTAAGTTTTCATAAATAATTCTAATAACAATCTTTCCTCTCCATCCTCCATCAGTCTTGCTTCTCTCTTTTCTCTCTAAATCAATTTTTTTTTTCCAAATCTAATTTTTCTTGTTCTAGTTTCAGTCTTTTCAACTCTACCTGCAGTTGTTCTTTATTTAAATTTAATTCTTGTTTTAACTGAAGCTGTTGGTCTTGCTTGCTTTGTATGAGATAAGAAAGTTTTCTTTTTTTTTTTTTGAGAAATTGGTATCATTATCTAAAAATAATATATTTTTAAAAAATGTATAATTATTATGCAATTTTTGTAGTAATTATATTATAAAAAATTTTTAAGTTTTTATATTTACCAGATGGAAACACAGGAGATGATGCTCTTAAAGATGCCATTGCTGCATCCCTGTCTTGCTGCCTAGTAATGGCTTGTGGTGATTTCTGGGCCTCATATTTTAACTCTTTTATTGTAGAAGTTGATTACGTTCTGTAAATTCCTCTTCCGTTTCAGACTTTCGCAAACTGGCTTCATCATTCTGAAAAGAAAACTGTTTTAATATATTCTATTTAAAATAATTTAAAAATACGGTAGGTTATATATCTGGGAGGCAAGATGGCCATCTACTACCCAAAAGTTAATACCTTGTCATAATACTGTAGAAGTAAATTTGTTCTTTAGTGTTATCGACCGTCGACAGCGTAATACGTTTGTAAATTTTCGGATATACAAGTTAACCCCCCTTATAACACTGTTGATTTTTCTGTTTTATATGAATTCCATGTTGTACGAGTCACTTAGATTTTACAAATATGTGAGCCGTTCACAGCCCGGCGCAT